TGCTGTGATTTTTAGCTGCGGCCTGCCCGCGGTCGCTGATGTTGCGTCCCTGTGCAGCGCCCTGGTGATTTGTGTGCGAGCCCGTGTGTCGCTCTGCGGAGAACTGACCTGTTGGTGCCTTGGGTCTTGCAGAGGCTGAAGGCTGCGGTTCACTACACGGTTGGCTGCCTCTGCCAGGAAGTTGCAGAAGACCAAGACGTGCAATTCAGCAAACAAACCATTGCGGCTATTTCAGAAATCACCTTCAGGCAGTGCGGTACAGAAGTTTACATATTATCTACTCGTTGCAAGAGAAATTGCTGGAGAAACGATGCTTAAAAAAAAAAATAGTACCGGAAGTATGAGAAATAGTGATTCTACTTTTCAGACTTGGAAAAAGCGTTTAAATGTGTGTGGAAATGTTGTGCGGGCCATCTGCCTGTGCAACAGTGGCATGTAACAATTTATGGTTGCTTCTCATGACTAACTTAGAAAGATGTAACCGCAAATTATCCAACAGCTAGAACTGTATTACGTAGATATTCCTACTCAGCATTTTAAAATATGTGGTGTCTTCTGTGTTTTCCCCAGAGAACTTTGCAAAAGACCTTGAAATGTTTGCAAGGTAGGTACTGGAACACTTGATTTTTACCAACACTTTCTTTGTGTCCAGCTCCAGTAACTAGATAATCCTTAAATTATGTGTTGTAATTCAAGTTTAAAGGGTTCTGTTGGCTGATTAAGTAGTGGTTGTGAAGATAGGAAATAGATACTGCCCTGTAGTTCTTCCTGATCTTGGAAGTTCATGCAGTACAAGTGATTGTTTAGATTAATGAGTCAAATGAGTCGGTACATAGCAGTGGTGGATGGTTTGGGAGTGACAGATGTTTACTAGCATGCCTGTGTTTAATCTGGTTTCTCCCAGGAGGTCAGGGAATGTTTTAAGAAGTCAAAACTTAACACTGATCAACTGGTAAGTAAGAGGGAGTGCTGCTTGAAGTTCTGGTTGCTAAATTCTGTTGTTTTTACACAAAAACTGTGGGAATTGAGATGTACGTGTACAAACTTGTAAAACGGGGGTTTGTGAATTATAGTTGGAAAACTAAAACTGGTAAACCAACTATAGTTGGTTTACAGGGTCCCTATTGAGCCCTTTTAGTTAGTGTTCTGAATTAGATGCGGTATGGCCCCTTACAGCCCGTGTTGGCAAACACATTAAGGGGTATTTTTAAATTTTATGCAGGCATGCAAAACGAACCACAGTCACTACAGAAGATGTGAAGCTTTTGGCTAGAAGGAGCAGTTCTTTGGTGAGATTTACTGTATTTTCTGTCTCTCAGCATTCTTAAACCAATTGGTTAATTCCTACGAGCATTTGAATGAAGTCTATAGATGATTAAGCAAATTTGCTTAAGCAATTTCAGTGGTTTATATATGATGGATGGGCACAATCCAGTGATTTTTAAAAATTTTCATCTTATTTTGCTTCATGACACTGTGACAGTATTACTGTAGGAACAGAGATCTGATTGCAAATCAAGCAACAGTGTTCTGATTCCAACAGGGCTGCAGGGGTTCCAAGAACAGACACATGACAGCATTGTCAATCCTGGAAGTGAATCACTTGGTTTTTTCCCGATGTTGTGTTTCTTTGTTTTAGCCTAAGGTCAGGAATAACTTGAGTCCACCTTGTGGTGCCAAGTCTCCTAACATTAATGTAGGGATGATTCACATTCCTGTATTCTCTCATGTGCTGATCTTAAATTCACTAATCTGTTACGACATACCTGTAAATACTTCCATGAGGAATACTAACAATATTAATCTTAATTTTATGTGAGGGGATTTTTTTCCTTCCAGCTGTGATTTGAGATATGCAACATGAACCTGCCTGAGAACGCATAGTAAATGCTGGAGCTGAATTTTGTGTCCCTGTCATGTGCTGTTTGTCAGCTAGGTGCAGAGGAATCTTGCAGTGTTTCTGTACTCAGACTGTAGCTCCACAAACTACAACTCTGAGTAACTGCTAATGTTGCTGTCTTGGTTCTAGAGGTGGATGTAACATACATTTATAAATCCTAGTCTTGGCAGGGCATTTCAGTATCTGAGGAGATCCAGTTTAGACTGAGGACTTTGCAGGTGTTAAAACTCGTTGATGTTTTTCAGACTTTTGGTCTTTTTTGTAATAAAAATTTGCCATGTTAATTTCTCTTAAACTTTTCTCTCTAACTTCTCATGAATAAATGAAGTTCCTCAGTAGGTGACTGATTAGTTTATTTTCTCAGCTAAAGTATATCGCCCAGAAGAGTGAAGAGATCACATCAAGTAACATGGAGCAAAAGGAGAAGAAAAAGAAGTCCAGTGCAGTTAAGGGAGGGAGAACTGGCAAACAAGAAGCACCTGTGACTGAAAGTGAAGAGCCCAACATGGCATGATTTACCTTTCAAGTAATGTCTCTGGTCATTTTCTTTTATTATCCTAGAGGAACCAGAGCTAGCCTGTTAGAGATTCCTCTTGCAGATTAGCAACAGTAATGAATCTTTAGGTTTTTAGGTGAACATGATTAGTTGGATTTTTTTGTTTCAAAAGTGAAAGGTCCTTTAGAATTCAGTAAAACTTACAGCCAAAATGCCTTAATTGCTCAAAAAGGTATCTTACTGTTATTAAGAAAATCCTTTAAATAAAGTGTTTAAAGCACAACAGTCTCACTGACCATAATACCTCAGCATGTGCTGCTACTGGTTTCTCCAATAATTATTTTAATTCTTCCTTCCTTCAATTTTTGGTGTTTTTGCTTAAGTATTTTGAATATCTTTTAACAGCCATATCTCTTACTTGTTGTATTGACAATTAAAACATGTTTTGTGTCATTTTTCACCTGTGATCCTGGTGGTGTGCAAGCTATACTTTCAGTAAGTTTTATTGTATTAATGAGTTTGACTGGAGTAACATGGCTCCGGTCAGGAATGTCTCACCACTGTCCTCTGCTGGACTGACAGCGGCTTACTGAGTGCTGGGGGTGGAAAAGCAGAGCTAAAGATTTAAGGTATTAGGTAGATACAGCCCAGTGAAATGAGAAGGCTGCTTAAGCTACTGCGTGGGCAAACTTTATCAAGCAAGAATATTACTTGCCAAGGATAGTCTAAAATGTGCAACGAGAGAAGGACTTGAATCACTGTTTCTCTTGGTCAGCCCTTGGTTCATGAGACAAAGCTCTTCCTTGGAGCCGCTTGTTCCTTCCTGAAGGATACAGTTTAGGGCAATTCCACAAAACCAAATTTGAAATTACCAGGTTTTCGTTTTATTAATAATACCTTAAATACTACCCCAGGATGAAGAAGGTACCAGATGACAGAATATTTTTGATCACCCTTGAGAACTTCTGGGGGTAGCCTTGCTCCTGTTTAAAACCCTTCTCTTGATAGAAGAATGCACCTTCTGGACTAGAGTCACTCAGGGACACCTGGCACAGTGGAAAAAGACTAATGCTCTGGACTCCTTACATGTGCTTCCTTTTATTCTTGCTCTGTATTTGAGCTATTGAACAGTAGTGGATAGGGAAGAAACCCACATGCCTTGTGTAGGCTGGGACTATCCAATATTTATCAAATAATATCAAGTGCTACAGTGTAGAAAAAAATAGGAGATGGCATGAATCCTTCTCTCTGGCTCTATACAGGACATGGTACACAATGACACTTTACCCTCCCTTCCCCGTATCCCAGACTGTTCCACTTTCAGAGATGAGGGATCTTTTAGAAGAATTCTTCTACTGACTGACATAGACTGCATAGATAATAAACCAACAATTCTGTAATCAACAGGAAGTCTGTGTTGGCGTACCAGTGCTTACATTACTCTGTTTTAATATGACACTATACATTATATTCTCGAGGTTCATGAGGCTTTACCTCATGGTACCTGGGTCATCAACCCAATCCCACAGGAGAGGCAAGAAGTTTTTCTTTGTGCTTTATGGGAGAAATCATTAATGCAGTGTTGAAGAGCATTAATCAAGGATACTCATTCATGGCAAATCTACTGCTGAAGAAGGAATGTCTTACAAGCTAGGTTTGTCTACTTGAATGTATTAAAGAATCAAGGCTTTGATATTCTAAAATTTTTAACCCTGAAAAAGGTGTAATGGCAGCCACCCTAGGTTTTCACACATCTTTCTGACTGTTTTATGCTGTACCACTCCCTCTTGAACATCTATATAAAATCCATCCATGTGAATCATGGGCACGTCAGTCACCCTGTTCAAAACTTAAAAGCGTGTTAAATATTACAAGAATAAGATCAAGGAAATGCTAATTTTTGCATAGGTCTAGTTGATAATTTGAATTCTAGAACAACTGCAGCATTTAATAATATACAGACAACTAAAGGGCTCTGGCCTTGATAACAGAAAAGAGGAAAAAGCAGCAGTAAAAATCCTCCATCTGGTTTTTCCTTAAGGCCAGATTGGATGGACCATCACTGCCTTCCTACAAGAATGATCAGCTTGGTCTCTGTGACTCCATCTCAGTGTTTGCCTGGGAGTAGGCAAGTTAAACATTCCCAGTACACACAGGATTGAAGTAATGATGCTGTCTGCTGAGTAGATGTGGAAAAGCCACAGGCAAAATCCTTCTTTCCTCTTACACAGCATAAGTAGAACTTCCATAGCCAAGTTGAGCTTGAAAAAAGCAAAAGCATTGCAGCTTTGGGCAAGACTGAAAAACTGGTTTATAATGGAGAGAGAGAGTGATAATCACAAGCTGAGACACAAGCTGACAGAAAAAGCTTGCTGACAACTAGTCTGCTCAATGCATGCTCCTGCCGTCGGTAGCCAGCGTAACTAGCTTTGTGTGCAGCAGAGCATGCTTCAGAAATTCTGTTATGAACTGCTATATATGCTATTTCAGAAAAATAAAAGCATAAAAGGCTTGTAACTGTTTAAAGCAGCAGGAATCCTTTTTACCTGCCATGGCCTATAACGCTACAAGCCGAAAGTGTATATTGTAAGAAGCAATTACTTGCCCTGGCAAAACAGACTGACCAAAACGCTGACTGCAAGCTTCCCCACTAAGTCCAGTCATTTCTCCTAGCGCCAGCTTCATCTGAAGTGACCCTAAGTATTTTTACTCACTTGCTCAAAGGCACTAAACTGTTTAGAATATTTATTAGTTACAGTGGCAGTCTAACTTTGAGTGCGCCGTAATTCAGCTGGGATGTCTCTATTCAGTGGGTTCATCTGAATGTCTGTATTTGGCATCCTGTACCAGTCCAGGTTACATTAAATCAGGGGGTTTTGCATGATACTGGGAAATATTTGTACCTACTAAACTTTATCAGGAGGTTCAGTTCACTTTGCAGATGTTTTTCATAAGCATCTTCTGTTCTCACAACAGAAGAACGGATTGTGCCAGGTGAGAGTTCTGGTGCAGTGTCACCAATATGAACATTAATGTCTTCCTCTATCCTTAAGGTAATAGTGTACTCATCAGCACATTCTTTAATTGTCGCAGCTGGTGGGAATATCAAAACTAGTCCAACAGTAAGGTAAAAAGGTTTTAATGGTATTAGAAAAAAAAAACCTGTAACAAATTTAACACAAAAGCATCATGATACTACATTAATGATTAGGAGAGTAATACAGACAGGCCAAATAAAAGTCTTCTGACCCACAACCTTACAAGGCAAGTATTTCCACCTCTGCTGTGCATTACAAGTTAGTGCTTACACTGCACCCAAGCAGGAGTTCCTTACAGAAAAACCACCTAAGTTAAAGGACTTTGAATTTAACTGCTGAAATTAGCATGAGAATTCAAGTTCATAGACCCCAGGTTGGAGCTTAAAGCCAGACAGCTGCTGGCTAACCCCTCTGCCCTGTTCATGAACTGTGCTTCCCAGTGTCTTCCAGAGGTCATCCATCCTTTACATTGAAAATGGTGGGAAGACGAAGTAAGCAAACTGCCTTCGGCTTCAGAAGCCAGATCCATCATTATCAGATGGAAGCTTCTGGCTCCCAACCAGGTATTCAAAGCTGAACCCTTACATGCTGTGTTTAGCAATACCATTGTTCTAGTATTCTGCAAAAAGTCAAAATCCCTTTGGTTACACATGATTTGAATCATCACAGGAGTTTAAGCCTCAGGACAATGTCCAGATTTTAGTTGTCTATAGCCAGACCACAGTATGACCAGCAAACCATGGCTCCCAGGGTCTTTGTTTGTATTTATTCTAATGCAAAAAAAAAAAAAGCAAGCAGCACTACAAGTCTTATTTCTTGCGTTTTGAACTAAGCCAGTCTCCCCAGGGTAGTGTTTTCTTGCCCTTCGACGTGCTCCTTAGGGAATGCAAAGTCTGCACTTGTTGTAGACGCTTGGAGAGCTCCTGATCACAGGCTTGCTGCAGAGCTTCAGCTTTCTGCTTGTCCCACCTTAGAGCCGAGGCCAGGGCTTGTGTGTCTTCTTTCAAGACCAGCTGTAGCAAGACAGATTTCTAACCATCTTTTCTGCTGATGGTCCTCCACTGCTAACCCCTCTGCCCACATTAAGAACAGCAGTAATGCGACCCCTGTTTAATACTGGTAATTTGGTATTGAAGATGTTCCCAGCTTTCATCATCTATCCTATGGACTAGTGTATTTTCAATATTCTACCAACACTTAGAGCTTGAAGCTATATTCAGATGTTCAAAGGAACAGAAAACAGTTAGTTTCTACAGCAGGTAAAAAGCAAGAGGAGGAAATTCACAGCGTTAGAAAGAACATACCTCCTAAAGGTTGAAGTTTACCTAGACTTTCCAAGCTGTGGGTTTATTTACACTGTCTTCCAAAATAAGGAGATTTTTATTTTGATTTGGGATGGATAAAAAAAAAAATAAAATCTAGCTAGATGCATTTGCATACCAAAAAAAACCCCTTGCTGTTAAGACAGACAAAGCACTGGCTGACTGATTTGACAGAGATCAAAACCAAAATTATTCTGTGGCTTTTCAGAGGACAGACTAGAGTACTTTGCAACAGCAGTTGACACTACTCTGAGGAGCTCTAAGCAGGGGGTAGCGTTACCGAGGAAGAGAAACAGATTAAATCTCACCAGACTGAGATATACTGACACTAAAGCTTCCAGAAGCAAGAGCAGCTTCCCCTATAACGTCTCTCTCCAGAGGGAGAGAATTGCAGAATGTGGTTATGTCATTCTCACCCACCTCTAGATCTTGACTGTCCAAGCAGAGCTCTGGAGCAGGTTTCTCTTTCAGAGCAGCAAGGATCTGGTCACTGAGCGCTGTTTTGGCTGAAGTGCCTGTACTGCTGGTACCTGTGTCAACCACATCCATCTCCTTTCTTGGTACAGTCTCAGATTCTGAAAAGCAGCATAATCATTATAGCCTGTGACAAACACAGGACAGGAAAAATGGCCTGGACTGCTTTGGTGGTTTTGAGATTAATAAAACACGCATTCTATTTAGGTGCATCCTCTAACTTAAGAAATCTGTAATGTTAAGGATGACTACATGATTTAAGCTTTTCTCGCAGTATTCTACTTTCAGGCATTGTGAGAAATGTGACGCAGCAGTGAGAGGACTCCTGCTCTCTCCCAGTCACAGAATTTTTACACTACACCAGCTGTTAACCACAGTTAACAGCTGCTAAGCTGACTCACTCCAGTCCTTCACTCTGTCTTATTTATTGCACTCAACTACTTCAGGCATTTCTGAAAAGCTCCACCTCTAGTATCCTAATGCTCCCTACCTGCTACTTTGCTTAAGATACTGTCTTCATTTTTCAAGGCCTCTAGGTAGAGTTCCAGCAGCTGTCTTGACTGACGTTCTTCTTCCCGTCTGTCCAGCACCTGCTGCAGGGTATCCTGCAATACTTGGATTTTGGTTTGACTTTGGGCGAGTTCTTCTGCCAGGTCTGAACGTGGTACATCAATCAGCACCTTAAAACAACGAGAGTACTCTTGTTACACGGACTGCCCGAGTAACTCACTCCGTTACACCGAGCCCAGTACAAACAGCAAGCCTCTGCCTCCGCGAAACCCAGCATGTTTCACAAGGGTTCTTGTCACAGCAAGTCAGCCTAGTTATGAGAGGCTGTGGTGGCACTCCACCAGCCAGCATTCTTTACCAGAAGCCAAAAGGCATCCAGGAGGGGGTAGAATTGTGCATTTTTAACAGAAATCCTGACAACTGGCAATCAAAGTATCATTCTTATGAGTGTATGGGAATACACACAGGAAAGCTGGCAGCCTGGCGCTTGGGAAGCTGCACACTGCAGGACACGAAGAGGCAGTTCCCACACTGCCTCACCACATACACGGTTGACATGGCAGTCAGATACTCGTCAACCAGCTCTGGAAACCCATCAGCAGTTCTTCAGACCCCTCTGGAGCAGAGATTTGACACACTGCTCAGCCTTCCCTTTTGACATTAGACAGGTGCCTGGTTTTAAGGAAGGAGCCCACCTCAGTTGCCATTTGGCCAAATCTTGACTTTTTGCCCTCCCACTGCCAGAACTGGAAAGACACTGTGAGGGACACTCGGTGATTTAGAACATCTTCCTCAGATACTTGTGAGGGAAATTTGACTCTCCCACCACAACCAAACAACTGCAGCTGAATTAAACTTGAGATCTTGTTTACTTAATTCTGTTCTCTGCCATCTACTGCGATAAATGGATGATGGGCAGAGCCAAGGACAGGAAATAGAGATTTCCCCACTGTACCTGGAGGTCATCTTCAGACATCAAGATGATATTAGACAGGTCATCCTTCAGCTGCCTGGCCAGCTGCTTCCACTTCTCTGCAGCACTGTCCACTTCATCCACAGCCTCTGAGAGCCAGCCCTCTCCGCTGTCTGACACAAGAGCCACCAGTTTCACGGGTCATTCCTGATCCACCCCAGACAGCCTAATTCCACGAGGCGTATCCAAACGCCCCTCCCCTTCCATGCTCCCTCACCCTCGGAGTACCTAAGGTTTTGCTGGACCATTTCTCATTCTTTGCCAGTGCCACAAACTTGGTGTTAGACGGCAAACACAAAAAGTAGTCTTCATCATCCACGATGGTGCCATCTTCTGCCAGTACTATGGTGATGGGCTCCCTGGCCTTGTCAATAGCCAGAATGCCACGAGCTGCAGGACAGAAAAAAATGATGAAACAACAGAAGTGACACACGCACTGCCCTTGTATTCCACCCCTCACAAAAGACAAGCAACTCTCAGTAATTCAGGCTAGAGCCCCGGGCCTGTCTCCACACAGCTCTGTTTTAGCCCCTAGTCGTGAGTTCCCCCCCCCGCCCCGAAGTCAATATCGATCGATATTCCGATCAATCGGGACATACGCACGGAAGAAGGCGCGTTTCAGTGCCACTCCGGGCGCTTATCCACCGCCTCCCCCCCCAGCAACCGCCACCGGGGGGACGTGCTCTCCTCCCGCGGCACGGATCGGGCCCAGCGCCGCCGCCGCCCCGCACAGAGCGGGCAGGGCAGGGAGCCCCCCGCCTCCCGCGCCGCTCACCCTTGTCC